CGTAGAAATTTGTTGGAATTTAAGAAGATCAAAATACCGCCCTGTGTGTCAGTGAATTGCGTCACTATAACTTATAAGGTATTTCTTCCACCTTCTTAGCGTGCCTTCGTGGTGTAGGGTGTAGTGGTTCTGCCCGCTGGGCCGGTATTCCAGAGGTCTGTGGTTCGATTCCCGGCGAAGGCGTTGCTCATTTTTTAATCTTGTCTGCTTCGAAAAATATATACCTAATGTCTATACAGTGGCATGTAAAGAACATGTACAAGAATGTTGTGTTGAATATACATGCACAGGATCCATCAGAAAAGGTGCATGCAAATAAATTTCAAAATATCAATGTCCGAAAACAAAGGTGAGCTACTGTATAATTGCTTGTAAATTCGATTTGTGGCTACCGAATAGTCTGGTACTACAGATTGTAGATCATCTATGTAGTTCATTATTCTCTATACGCATTGGGGCCACCAGTGGTTTCACCGCTGAAAGTCTAGAGCATTTGAAGTTTTATTCTCTACCAACACACGGGAGAAGCTGAGAGCTAGTATAACAGATTTCGAACTCGGGGAATGAGTGGTTTCCTCATGTGTAATGTAAATAGGAGCCAATTTTCCCTAGAAAGACCTTCACCTTATGCTTCGTCGTTGTCAAATTAAGAAGGTTTAAGGCATACAGTATTGTAATTTTATTAGTATTACTAAAATAGCCTTCGTGTGCTTTGCCATTTACAGATAACCTAATCCGGAAATGGACGAGTTGTGTGGCGTTTTCTCCCTATTTATAGTGAAGGCAAAGTCTCCCCCCCCCCTTTTTTTTTTTTTTTTTTGTAAACTCTCTGAAGGCATTTCTTTCATGGATGACAGTCTTTTTTAAACATAGCCCTAATCAATTACGTTATTTATGACGATAGAGCTCTCTACACCTCTGATGGAACTCTGTAACTTTGAATCAAATACATGTACAGGATCTATCAGAAACATGTATAGACACTTTAAGGAAAGAAAATATTTGATGTCTGCTAGAATTTCATTGTAGGTTAATATAATTATCCATATCACAGGCTAGGTTTAATACGGTCTTTCTGCATCTGTACAACTACTTAGAGTGCTCACACAGTCGTGAACATTAGCGGCCACAATTCCCAGTGGCGAGCTGTTTCTTCAACAACGTTGGTTATTGTGTCCACGAGGATTGCCACTGCAATTTCTCGATTTCTTAATGAAACACCTTCAACACAAATGATTTCCTACACTGCATATCCTCTCATCAAACATCATTTTGATTCAATATCATACTTCACATATAGTCATGAAAGTACCCACATGTGCTAAGCAATCACCATACTACATGTTGGAAACACAGTTCAATTCACCTTTGAAACAAATAAGTAGATAGCATCTGTTAAAATGTGTACATAATTTTCTGATGAACCTTTATATATATCAACAATTGTAATAACGCTGAAACATTCCAAAGATTTGCCATTTTGTTTGTTTGATTATGGCAAATCACGCTAGGGCTTTTTAAGGGAAAGTGGCCTCCATCCACGTTACATATGGGAAAAATCCCAAAACTTCTTATGTGGCCTAGAATCGAACCCAGGTCGCACTACCAGTATTCAGCGACTTTACTATTTGCCCGCTGGGGGAGGAGATTTACTTTTCATTTCAGCCAAAAAAAATTCTAAATATCGTTTAGTCTGCATATTCAACTTAATGCAACATACTTTTTGAGTTTTTTTTTAATAAAATTCTTTATAATCTCACCTGGAAAACTTCGAAGCCAACGAATTGAAATCTTTGTTTTAGCAATACTTCACGCCTTTTGGATGGCACAGAAATTGACTTTTTTTGTAGGGGGAGGAGGCTTCAGGTTTGCATTTTTTGAAAAAACTATTAATTCACATATTTACGAACTTTTGTTTCACAGTTTTATGTGCCATATAGAAATATTAATAACGGGAATATTTTAGGTCTCATAATGTGATTTCATTGAGTACTTGTTTATATATAGACATCGTCTAAAATGCTTCAGATAATGAGAATATTTATGTCATCGAATTCTTAAGTTAAAAAAGTTGCTGAAATCTTCGTAGCTATATTTATCAGATCTAAACAACAGGAGTAAAAATAAACTTATACCTTCAGAAGTCAAACAACAAAAATCAGCGTTAATTCACAAAATTTTCACAGGACTAGTTTCGATGGTTTTACCGAACCATCATCTTCAGCTGCAAAACCGCAAATGAACAAGATAGGAAATATGTTTAGATAAGATAAGAAAGCCTGGACAAGAAAAGCAAGTGGCGCCATCTGTTGGCGAAACCAGAACTAAAACATAATTTCTCTCTAAAAGCCGAAGGCAAATTTGGATTGGAATTAGGATCGTTAACTAAACAGAAAGATTTTTATGAATGTGAAATGCCTCTAGAAATCCAGTTCTCCACTGCAAGATGTTTTTTTGAATAATTTTGGCAGCAGAAAAAATTGAAAGTGTGATTTTCGGACCAACATGTTGAGCACAGAAGACTTCTTTCTGTGTTTCCTTTTTTCTAACATACCTCATGTTCTTTGACGCGAAATTTTAAGCTCTCTTTAGTTTGGCCAATGTAAATTAAACCGCACTGACAAGGAATCCTATAAATAACCCAGGATTCATATCCGGAATGGGGTCCTTGAGTAGAAGTTGGAATTTTATTGATGGGAGAGTAAACAACCCGAAAGTTAAATTTCTCTGCAAAATATGTGCAACTTTTATAACAATTGATGAAAGAAGGGAAGACCAACAGAATTTTTATAATCTCCTAAAATAAAGTGTGGCTTTTAGTGTGTTGAGATGAGAATTTTTTAACTGCTTGATTAAAATGTTGGGTGAAAAGCCCCTGTCAATAGCTTGCTTTTAAATAATTTAGTTCTTCATCAAGGGCTAGTTTGGAGGGAGCAACTTGAAGAGCACGGAAAACATAGGAAATAAAATGAAGCTAACTTTTGTTTAGTCGGATGACATGATTTAAAGTTGGTGGGAAGGCAAACCGATGAAGGTTTACGGATGAAGGTTACGTTCCACCACACTTAAATCATGTCATCCGACTAAACAAAGTTAGCTTCATTTTATTCCTATGTTTTCCGTGCTCTTCAAGTTTGCTCCTCCAAACTAGCCCTTGATGAAGAACTAAATTATTTAAAAGCAATAGCTATTGACAGGGGCTTTTCACCCAACATTATTAATCAAGCAGTTAAAAAATTCTCATCTCACACCTAAAAGCCACACTCTGGTTTTTAGGAGATATAAAAATTCTGTTGTCATTCCCACTTTCCATCAATTAGCTATAAAGTTGCACATATTTTTGCAGAAATTTTACTTTCGGGTTGTTTCCTCTCCCATCAATAAAATTCCAACTTCTATACTCAAGGACACCATTCCGGATATGAATCCCTGGGGTATTATAGGATTCCTTGCCATGCGGTTTAATTTAAATTGGCCAAACTAAGAGAACCTTAAAATTTCGCGTCAAAGAACATGAGGCATATGTAGAAAAAAGGAAAACAGAAGTCTTCTGTTGCTCACATTGTTGGTCCGAAAATCACACTTTCAATTTTTCTGCTGCCAAATTATTCAAAAACATCTTCCATTGGAGAACTGGATTTTCTAGAGGCATTTCACATTCAAAAATCTTTCTGTTCTAGTTAACGATCCTAATTCCAATCCAAATTTGCCTTCGGCTTTTAGAGAAATTATGTTTTAGTTCTGGTTTCGCCAACAGATGGCGCCACTTGCTTATTCTTGTCCAGGCTTTCTTATCTTATCTAACATTATTTCCTATCTTGTTCATTTGGGGTTTTTGCAGCTGAAGATATGGTTCGGTAAAACCATCGAAACTAGTCCTGTGAAAATTTTGTGAATTAACGCTGATTTTTGTTGTTTGACTTCTGAATCAGTATTTATTCGGCGTGTTATTGTGTCTTAATTAAACTTATACCTTGCTGCGGATGAACAGTCTTAGAGGCTCAAAAAAGTGTTCCATGTATAATACTCGTCTTTTAATACTAGATTCATGGGACCCGTCATTTTGACGCATTTCGAACTTCATGAGCAAAATTACAAAAACAATTATTTTTTTTGTTTTCTAACTTATGCTGACAGTTATCGATTTAACGAGACGAATACATACCTGAATGTATTTCCCCTTCAGCCCTTTAAGTTCTGTTTGATGTTTACCTACGTAATAGTATGACTATTATGGATACTCGTCGAAATAACGGGTAAGATAAAGTTTCATAGTTAATCGGAATAAATCGGTTTTTTATGAAATTAATTTTACTTGTTTAACTTGTTAAACATGAAGTATATAAGTCTAGAATACTCAAACAGATGTGGGGTACGCACATGCATGAGTTGACTACTATCGCTAGATGTTCTGAAATTTACTCAAAACTTGGCAATTTTATCATGTCTTGACACTAGGGGTGCGGATAACCAAAATTAAGAAAAGTACCAAAAATTTAGTTAACGATAGGTTTCCGAGCATTTTTGTGTACCTACATTTGCGGACACCTGTTAAATAGACGTGTATAGGAAACCAAGCATTTTCTTAAAAAACGAAACTAAACTTTTCCTACAACGTCTTGACACACTAACTGGAACTCAAACTGTTTAGGAATGTACTTCATGTTTTAACTTGTTAAACATGAAGCATTCGTTAAGCAATATTCATTAAATTTCGCTAATGCAATACTCATTAGCCGTAAAAATATAATGATGTAAAAATGCAAGATTTTTGTTTTCTCATAAAATTTACATTTCTGAAAAAGACTGCTTTTCATTAGTATTATTATTTATGAACGGAACAATATCTGTAACCATCAAGATTGTGAGCCGGTAAACGTTTTTCACCAGCTCACAATGAGTAGCAACTTTTCGCAGAGGCACGAAAAAATGAGGGCAATAAGTACCAATATACGATTATTTTCGAATCAAAGCCAGAAAATATAAATACGTATTAAAAATGTGAGACAAATTCAGACCTGTAATTTATTGAAATATATTACAGAAATTGACTAACAAAAACATTGCTGTGCAGTATATTACAGAATATTCATCATTAACATTATGCAGATATAAAATTACTAGACATACAAGACAAAAAAATCTGAGCTGTAAGTTTAGAACTTTAAGGGAAGGGGAAGGGAAAAAAGGTTAAAATTCAGCACTAAAATTATCAACATACAGAAATTGTAATATAAAAATATAATATTGTATAAAATATTTTAATAATTAGAAAATTTCAGAAATTTATTACCTTTCCTTAAAAAAACAAGTAAATAGTTAAGAATAATGAATGACAAGTACGCTTCTGCCATGCTTTTAATATGATTAAAATATCTGAACTGAGAAGTAAAACCTTGATGAATGAAATCATAGTAAACAGAAAGGTAAAAAGATTAAAATCAAAGTAGTATTTTGAAAAGTAGACAGGTATTTAGAAATTAACAACACTCAATCACTTGCACATAATAAAAAAGTGAAAATATTTACAAATAATTCCTACTAACACACAATATTCCTGGGTAATAACAGACAAGAAACATACTTCAACAAATGCAAAAAAGTTATTTGAAATACAGGACTGATTCCTCATTTGCAACCATGAAGTATAAAACAGGAGTCCAACCTTTTTTTTTTTTTTTTTTCCCTCATGTAACCCTTTCACCATTGCTAGAAGATCATTCTCCCCTCTTTTCCAAAATTCGACAAATAAATATAAACATTTATCTAGATTTGGATTATTTTTTTTATAAATTAAACAAAAAGTATAGAAAATGTTGATAAATGCCAAAACTTGAATAAAAGTAGCTTTTTATATTCATAAACTAAAACTGAATACTTAACAACTAAGGAAAAGGCTGACCACATTCCCCCTCCTAAAACTACAAAATTCTCAACTCAAGAGAGAATTCCCCCTTTGTTGAGAACCACTGGTATAGAATAAAAAAATCTGAATTCTGTTGGCAGTAAAGAACAGAAATATTAGATAAAGTGGTGGTTATTTCTAATGATACCTTTATAACTCTGTTAAATGCACATTAAAATTAACAAGTTCACCCTTTAAAACAGGACTTAAATTCAGATGGAAACCGGTTCGATTATTTCTAAACTTTTACAAAAATTTTTGCTCTACCCAGAGTCCAAAATTAGCCAAATATAGATACTTTATTTATTCAACTATTTCCATTAATATTTTTTATTTATATATGTACATTTCATTCAATTTCAATTATAAATTTATTATTTAGTGTTTGTTCCCATTTTCTGATGACCTTCCGAAAGGTTCTGGCATTTCCAGTGTTTAAAATTAAGCTCTACTTTTAAAATAACAGAATTAGAAAGTACTTAAAGTTCTTCACTTTCAAATGAGTTAATTTCAGTTGGAGATTATTTTCAGCAACAAATATTTGCAAACCAAACAACTAAGCCTGATTTTTAGTTTTCAGAAAGATCATGAAAATAATTTGCATAAGTAACATTCATTTAAAATGACACATATGTTTCCTATGAACTACTTGAAATTATTTTAGACAACATTATAATGCATGTTCATGAAATGATAAAATTAACTACGTCTTAATACTTTTACAACTATCAATGAAATTTTAATGAATAGACAAAATGCAAAAAATATATAAACTAACAGTAATTTGATACTCAGGTTGCTTTCAAGAGACTCATGAGACAACATCAATTCTATAAATATTAAATGTATTTCACAATAAACAAGTAATAGCTATGAAATAAGTCTTCTACAGTTCCATCAAAAGCACATTATAATATAGTACCCGAATTAACACCCTGCTTCCTGATTAATACGAGTTGACGGTTACACAGACTTAAGTAAGCAAGTTCAAAACTTTAACGAATTAGTTCACAGTTAATGACTCCAGTGATATCCTGAGTACTAGATGAAATTTTGTACAAACTAAAATGGATGATAAAGTACATTGAGAGATCACTGCAAAACTTAGATCCATTCTTGATTTATGTGCATCTAGAAAGTTGTTGTAATGTGTAACCAGAAATTCAGCCCTCATTTATGCACAGAAATCCACGATAAAAATAAATGAAATTTTGCTACTTCGCATGTAAGCAGATAATATGCAAGAAATTTTAGTAATGGAATGTCGGTCCAATAATATAAGAAAAATTCAAAATGTAGTTCTGTATGTTACCATGGGTTTTAATATCAGTATTACACAAATTATCTTAAGACTTAATAAAAAGGCACTTAGGTATGTGAAAGGATTTTAAAATGTATCACTTGAAAAGCTCATGTTCATAAAAATTTCCAAGTTCTAATAATACATGTATGAAAAGCAAATCTGGTAGCTAACTGTTAAAAGTATTGAAACAAAACTATTACGCATTATTAACATGGAACACATACTTCTTTATACAAAATTATGATGTGGGAATCGTGAAATGTATTTCAAATAGCACAGTAACATTTCTATTTGGTGTTTTCTTCTTTTAACAAAATAAGCCTTAGCTTGTATTTTTTAACAAGTCAACAAAAAAATAAAAAGTGTAGCAAATATTTACTACACCTTCACAAAAAGTAGCTATACATATATATATATGTATATATATATATATATATATATAAAAGTCAAGCGCGTTACTTTGGGAATTGCATTTATCCAATTTTCTTTTCAACAGATTTTTGTTTATTTTCTAAAGATACTCCTAGGTTAGCTTTCTTTCCTTCATTTTCACGTAACAGTTTAGCATCCAGATCTTTCTGCTTCTGAATAGCCCTGTTCTTTAGATATGTATTTTGGAAATAGTCATAGAACATAAGAAGGAAAAGTCCAGCCAAGAATGTATTCAAATAAATAATGAACTTGGACACTTTACAGTTGGTGATCATAAGCGTCATAACATAGAAAAATACCATGACAAACTGGATCTAAAAATTAAAAAAGCATATATTAATCAGATGAATTTTATAGTACATACATATATCTGCTGACAAATTACTTACAATTTTGCAATAACATAAAGGAATTTTTAAAAGATAAATTTTATTACTTTTATCAATTAGATAACAAGCAGTTCCAAATATTTAATAAACATGTATACAAAATTTTCAGATGCAAACAATTAAAAATACCCCCAAGCCAGAGCAAAAACTTATGGCCAAAAAATTATGCTGCAGTTCTTCATAATCCTATTTTTTCTAACATAAAAAAAAAAAAAAAAAAAAAAAAAAAAAAAAAAAAACCTCAGTGAAGGATCCAAGGACATATGCTACCTTATTCAGGTCTTGATAGCATAATAAAGACACATGTTTATGATCTTATTACAAAAATAGTCTGCACCTTTTAAGATTCCAAATGTTTTAGGAAAAATTCTTGTGTCATACCATTTGTAAAATTGCTTTCTAGAAATAATCAGAGACAATTTTTTTTTTTTTTTTATAATTTCAGTCCACTTTAGTCAATAATTCTTTGCTACTGTGCTTCACGTAGTGTATGACGAGTTTGCTTTCAAATTTTCTTCTGTTGTGTTATGCAGAAAAACTGAATGTGGCTACAGCATGTCATTTGTAAGGTTAAATTGCTCATTATTTGTCATAAGAATTTCAGAACCGACACTAGACTTAATTGCCTAGTACAATTTCTGTCCCTATTACATTCTGCATTTTGTTGCTTCCCCAATTCTGCTGCACCTAAATTATACAGCCTGGTGCAGTTTTGCCATATGCACAGGATATGAAGCTGGCATTGAAAGCTATTATTTAATATTCTGTACGAAAAGAAAAACAGGAACTATTTGTATTTATGGGTGGGTATTTAGAGAGTAGATTATTATACATAAAATACGGATACATGTATTAAGAAATAAAAACACCTGTGCAATTTCACAGAAATCAGTAATGGAGCTTTCACAATTGGCATATACCGAACTTCGTTACTAGTTAACCAGATGACCTTTCTGCATTAAATTAGTTAAATAAATTACCTTGATACATCAAAGAAACTTGTATAATGATTTTGTCAAAGTGCTCTAACTGTTCAACTTACACCAACACGGTTAAGTATCAATCAATCACAGTGCAGCAAACATGAACTGACATTCGCTCGGCGAATCCCTTTGTCACCGGTGCCTTCAGACATATTCCACTTTCTATTCCACAGATCTGAACCGAGTTAATGACTATTGCACCTTAGGACTATAAATCCAGACCCACTCAGATTAACGCAGGGATTAATTCTGAAACCGATTCTTTACATAATTTTCGTACACGATTTTTTAAGTTCATTGAAGATCACAACATACTATTTGAATGTTATGCCGACGACACGGCAGTTCTGGCAAAAATCCAGAAAAACCAAATCATGCTTTTAAGAGACTGCAAAACAAGATACTTGTTATAAAAAATTGGTTCTGCAAATGGAAGACAAAAATCAATCCAGATAAATCAGAAGTCTCACTTATAAGAAAGTTCAAGAAACTTGAAATGATCACAAATGATGTCACCCTTCTCGGATCACGAGCTCCTCTTATCTCCATAGCTAAATACCTAGGAGTCACTCTAAATAGTTCTTTCATTTGGAAGAATCATATTAAGCAGATAAAAGGTATGACCTCATATCATCTTCAAGCTTAACCAGATCCTCTCAAGTAACTTCCGACCTAATCTGACCAGAAAAAGGAGAATCTGAGCTTCCATCATAAGGCTCATCTTCCCTTACATCTCGCTTGCAGGGGGAAATGCCATCGAAAAAGATATTAAGCAAGTATAAGTTATCAAAAACAAGTTCCTCTGAATCATCATAGGAGCATTTTACTTCATTCTGGGCTCTTGTCTTCATCGCGATCTCAAAATTGAAACTCGTAAGTGAATATTTCAACAAAATTCACAAAAACATCTTCAGTAGTGCAGTATATTGTTCTGTTGTCAACTTTGTTCAAAATTTAAATTAAGAAATGATCCAAAATCTCCATATTAGACCATCTGCAGCTCACAAAATTAGGCAAGACAGTTAACTTAGTCATTTTTGCATCATTTCTGAGAGTTTGCGCAAACTCTTAGTTTGAAAAAAAAAAGGTGCTGTGATTTGGATATATTTTCTTAAATTTAAGACACTGCTTTTCATATATTTTTTACGCACACAGAATATTTTATTTTTTATTAAATTAGTTCATTCGATTTACTCAATTTTGCTTATCGCACGAGTGCTATGAACGTATGTATTGACAACCGATGTACCGACAGCTCCTCTCCCAGACATTATGGAGAGCTTTGATAGTGGATAAAGTGCCTCATCTTCCTTTTTAATTTCCCGAACTACTCCTAGAGAGTGCAAATAAAGACTCGTCACTTTTCTCACTCACCATACTCGTGCAGGAAAGAGTTACCCAAGGTAGCTGAGGCATGTATAACTGAGTATCCGACAACTATCATAATAATGATGACTAGACCATCGGATGAATTTTTTCTGGGAGGTCACGTACTTTTTATAGCTTAGAAATTTGGGCGCTTCTTTGTTATAATTGCCCCAACCATATTTGCCGATTTTACATTCTCGCCAAGATCTCCCTCAGCTATAAATTTGCCGAGTTCGTGAAGCGCGAATGTAAAAATAAAGAACACAATATATAATACTCACATGTCGTTTCCTAAGAATGTTTTTAATAATCCTTATCCATATTATTTTGTCGCATGTAATTGTTCTACAACGGCAGCACTTTCGCATATATTAATCTGTTTGTAACACTATTTTATGGACCTTTTATGGATTTATCAACTCCTTTTGTCCAAGAATATAGTATAAACCTAACAGAAATGACAAACGATATTCTGGATCCACTGAACTACAAGGGGTGATGAAATGAAACGGTACGAAACGACGTAAAAACGTAACAGTTAAATATTTGCATATTCCGCCATGGGAAAACGTAGCGAGACATCTCAGGATGCGATTTGAGTCTCTGACTAAGATCGGAGCATGCGCGGGCGCCCACATGCACAGGAGAGAGCAGAGGCTCTTATCAAAAGCGGCTTCCAAATGATGCAGCAGGTCCGTATGAAGCCAGGATGGCGTTCGCATTGCAAAATTCGACTACTGAGGAGCAGCGACGTGTTATCGATTTCTGACAGCGGAAGGTGAGAAACCGGCAGCTATTCATCTCCGGATAGTGACAGTTTACTGGGAGAAATGCGTCTTTTGACAAGTCAGAAAATGGAGTGCCCATTTTCTTGCAGGCTGTGAGAGTGTGGACGATGATCCGAGACCAGGCCAGGCCAGGCAAACACTATCATCACGAGCCATCTCATCGACAAGGTGGACGATTTAGTGAGAAGTGATCGGCGTGTCACATTGCGAATGTTGGCGGTGAAGGTGGATGTCAGCTATGGAACCGTGTGGACAATTGTTCACGACAGGTTGCGATATCGGAAGGTTTGTGCCGCTTAGGTTCAGCGGCGACCAGCAAAAGGAACTGCGTATGGGGCTAGCACTCCAACATCTGTTTCGGTATCGGGAAGACCCCCGCTTTCATGGAGTGGATCATCACAGGTGATGAGACCTGTGCCATCACTACGAGCCAGAGACAAAGCGGGACAGCATGCAGTAAAAGCATGCGTCGTCACCTCCCTCTAAAAAGTTCAAAGCCGTGCCGTCAGCAGGCAAGGTGTTGCTCACCGTCTTTGTTGACGTTCAAGGTCCGCTACTTGTGGAATTCCTCGAGCACAAAAAAAAAAAAAAAAACATTAACTCCGATGTGTTCTCTGAGACACTCCGACGCCTACACAGGTCCATCAAGAACAAAAGACCGGGGCTGCTCACAGAGGGCGTGGTTCTGCTCCATGATAACGCGCGTCCACACGTCTCCAGAGTCACACACATGGAACTGGCCAAGTTCAAGTGGGAGACGTTGGACGATCCGCCCTACAGTTCGGACATGTTGCCCTGCGATTTCCATGTGTTTGGTCCACTGAAGAAATACCTGAAAGGGAAGCGCTTCAATTCGGACGTCGTACGCAAGGACGCTGTGAAGGACTGGGTCTCGTTACGGCCACTGGAATTCTGGGAACAAGGAATCCTGCGGCTTGCTCATCAGTGTGATCGTTGTGCTCAAGCCTATTGTGTATATTTTCAATAAAGTCTACATTTGTACCCACCGTGTCGTTTCGTACCTTTTCATTTGATCACACCTTGTAGTTTCCAGCACCGAGGCCCTCGTTTTGCAAATTTTTTACATTGCACCCCAGATGGTTTCTTCGTTAACAAAATCTTGTGGCCATTTTCGCATACTCATTCGTCAGGTAAAAGATTTCTTGAAAAAATGGTATGGCTCCCACTTCATTACTTGGTAAATTAAAGACTGTTAACAAAACATTCACAAAAAAATGAATATGCGAATATTAAATAAACAATGCGAAATCAAAAACTTCATAAAAATTATATGCAGCGAGAACAATAATTTAAAACGGTGCTAATATACGATCTCGTGGGAAGGTATAAGAACACGCAGCCAGATTTTGGCGAGATTTCTCGGCTGATTGTCGTAATTGAGATTTCTCAGCTGATTGGCGATGACCTCGGGGTACACTATGACAAAGAAGTACCAAACTTTGCTTATATCCAAAAAGTAAATTAAAACTGTAAATTCGATACAATATATTTTCTTGAGAGGAATAAGAGTAAGTCTTAAAAGCTCAATGTCACAAACACTCACACACAAGATAATTGATGTAATATAAAAAATTTTATAAGTTCAGCAAAATGGCAAGACTTTCGTATTAAAAAATTATTCAGAAATTTGCCAAATATCCCCGACTTACTTAAAAGCATTAGTAAATTCTTCATATAGTTTTCCCATACATCTTCAGCGAAATATTTACATTTATGAAATGCAGCAAAAAAATGCATTCAAAACCTACATGAGAATGAGATAAAATGACAAAATTACCATTTGGAATGTTGTCAAATACTTCTTCCACCACAGGTACTTCTGTACGCTTGGTCCCAATGCTGCTAATCCGTAATAAGTGTACATTACGGTATGGACAATTGTATTTATCAGAGGAAAGAAATAGTTGTAGTTTCCTAAAAAAGAGCATTTTCTAGTTACATTTCAAACCTATTACAGAACCCAACATGAAAGTAGTAAAGCAATACAAGTAATTTTAATAATAATGCGTCAAATTTTGATTTATTTCATTATAGATTTTTCTTAAATTCTTTCTAATATTACCATGATGAGAAATATTTACTAAAAGCACATATCGTGGAATGCGACCAATTTCCTTTAAAAGTACACAAATCTTGAAATCCAACATTTGTAGTATGAAAGGTATAGTTACACAAATAAAAAGATATTTTAAAATAAAATGACATTCAGATGATGCCATCAACATTTAGATGATGTAATGAAGTGGCGAATTGTGGCGAGGCTAGCGGCAAGCCAATCGCAAGTCCAGATAAGCAGAGAGTTTAATTTAACGCCCAGCGTTGTGTGTAATCTATGGATATAGTTCCAGGATACTGGATCTATCGAGAGAAAGCCTGGGCAAGGTCGTCCAAGAGCCACGACGGCCAGAGATGATCGCTATTTGTCTATTTTAGCGAGGAGAAACAGAGTGGTTACAGCTTCTCAGCTCTCTCGGGACCTGTATGCAGCAACAGGAACCCGTGTAACAAGAGTGACTGTTTCCAAAAGATTGAATGAGAGAGCGTTGTTTGCCAGAAGATCGGCTGTTTGCGTCCCGCTCACGTCTACGTACAGAAGAGTTCGATTAGCATGGTGCAGGCAGCATAGTGATTGGAGTATGGAGCAATGGGCGACCGTTCTGTTCACCGAGGTGACCCGTTTTAGCCTAAACACCGATACTCGCCGTACTTTGATATGGAGAGAGCCAGTGACCCGCTACCTACTCTCCAATGTCCACGAAATCAACAATTATGGCGATGGCGATGGCGGTGGCGGTGTAATGGTCAGGGCCGGCATCATGTTGGATGGCCGCACATCTCTCCACGTCTTTGACAGAGGCTCTGTGACTAGTGTGAGGTATAGGGATGAGGTCTTGGAGCCCTATGTTCGCCTTTTCTGGGGTGCAATGGGTCCCGAGTTCATCTTACAGGATCTACGCGAGGCCACATAGAACTCTTCTGGTCAACGAATTTCTCGAGAGTGAGGATATTCGCAGGATGGATTGGCCAGCCAGGTCTACAGACCTAAACCCTATACAGCATATCTGGGACGCTCTGGGGAGGGCAACTGCAACTCGCAACCCCCTTTCCGAAACCATCCAGGAACTGAAAACAGCATTGCTGAATGAGTGGGACCATTTGCCACAGGCACTCATAAACTCCTTATTTCCAGTATCACATCACGCTGAGCGGCCTGTATGATTGTAAGAGCCATACAGGCCTCTCATTGGGTTAATAGAGATGGTTATATATTGGTTTAATAGCAAATGTATTAATATGACCATACTCCCTATTAACCAATTTCTTTTGTCTTCTGCAACCGCTGTGTCAGACCTTCAACCTCTCATGAGTACACACGAACATGTGTGTCTATTATAACTGTTGAATGTTTATTTTGTTTGTATTATATCAATCTATGTTCGTACCAAATTTTATTAAAATCTGTCCAGTAGTTCTGGAGATCGTAGATGAAATATGAAAGTTCTCTTAATTTATTTCACCAGTGTAATATTAACATACTAAATTATATTAAAAATTATTACACATAATATTAAAATTATATGCAGGAAACAACAAAAATGCATAATATACTAAATCAAGTAGGAAAGGTTTGGTAGATTTTTTAGTCTTCTACAGTAGGTCATCATATGTATGTCGGTTATCAAATTGTAGGCTGATCCATCCTTCCGACGCTGAATTAGTTTAACAAAAATGCAATAAAATTACATATTACCTGGTTCTACTCGGAAACCGCACCATACTGCAATTGGCACTACTGCGTGATGCACCACATGAAGAGTAGAAATATGCTTATTCTTTTTTCTTAACACAAAGAAAATCTATAAAGATTAAGGAATATGAAAACATACTCAAAACATATTGGAACTTGAGAACAATTAAAACAGTTCTACAAGAACTTCTTTTAAGAGAGTTCTATAAGCTTAATGTCATGAAACGATAGTATAAAAAATCGATGCATAAAATAGGTGATGTTTCACTTGTGCAGAGGACAAGTGGAACAAGTGATATTTGCGCATATTATCCCGTGCAAGAACATGAAATTTTCTAACAGGTATTATTAGGTAGTTATTGACAGCAAATGATGCTTCAGCACAGCATGTGAGAAATAATCAAACAGAGATGATCTATTGACATGAATTTTTCTGAAGTCGTGTCCATTGCTGTTCTGACATTATTTAGAGTATATCTTGTAATATTATTAGTTTTTCTTTCCCCCTCCCTTGAGTTCTTTATAGAGCATTTATATCAACTGAATTTCACCCTTATTGAAACGCCTAAAGGTAATCCATGCGCAATCTATAACCACTATTGGCAAAGACAGTTGCCATGTAGATTCTAAATGCAGATTAATTAATCTGTTAATGTAGATTCTAAAGTGACAACATGGAAATGCAATAAAAACAAAACAGACAAAGGGTAGATGACGAAGCATGATGTAATTTTGAAAGTGACAGAACCTATCTGGCTGATTAGAATTTCAAAAAATTTAGACTAATCCTATAAAATCTATCTGTATAAAATTACCAATTATTATGTTTCTGGCCCCAAACCGTCTAGGAGTATTCTGCGAGGAGTATTCTGTACCCACATTTGAGAAAAACTTTATGGGGTGTTCGATTTGAGAGTTTAACCATGCATGCTATAAGGAGAAAAAGAGGATAAACTGTACAAATTCTCTGATGATGGCTTAAAATATTAGTTTTTCGTCGGAATAAGTGCATTCAAATAAATAGGATTATGTTGAAAAACTGCATTGTAATTTTGATGAAAATCGACAAAATAAAAAAAAAAAAAAAAAATACCTAAATTCCTAAAATTAGAACAAAATATCCAGCCTAATTTACGGAAAGCCTAATAACGTACATTTTATGAAAAATAAATACATACATAAACAGAGATTACAGTTCATATTTTTTATTAACCTCAGTTAATAATGGATGATTTTGGTTTACATAATATTCGAAAATGTCCCAGCGGATTTTGAAGCTTTAGAGTTGAAGTATTTTAAAAAATCTGAAGTCTGCACCAAATGACTTCCTTCTACGGAATATTAAGTTATAAGCATTTTTCCTGCATTTCTTTTTAACTTATTTCGTCGAATTTCATTAGAGACATATTTCTCATTCAATTAATTCAGTTCTCACTCTGCGGCAAGGGCAAAAATACATAAAAAACTCAAAATATCTTCATTAAAAATTGAAAGATATAGAAAAAACATAAAACATCAAATACAGTTAAAACAATTTTAAAAAATTACAATTAAAATTACGGTTTCTGCGCAAAAACAAGAAATTCGGCCAGCAGGCAAGAAAACAGATTTTTCGATGCACAAAACTGAAATTTAATTTCGGTCTCACTCCGCAAAGACACTGAAGGTGCAGAAATACTTAATTTACTATTCTGCCAAGTTTGAAAATTAAATAAATATGTCTGCTGTAGGAAAAAATTAGGGCTTAGCCGCACTTAAAAACTTTTAAATTGTTGATAAGTCTACAACTATTACATGTAGATTAACTAAAGGCATAAAAACTTTAACCGGTTGATAAGAACAACATAATTCAATCATTTTTAAAGCAAAAAATGCACAAGAAAAAAAAACTGAGCTCACTGAGCCGAGTAACAGAGTGGGTACATATAGAGTGGGTGTACCCACTCACAATATATATATATACTTTTCGTGCGGCCGATTACAACCAAAAAGGGAGGTACACAACTACATGTTATAGCAGTTCTGTATACGAAATTCTAATGTTCTGAGGTTTCTCGTTTTTGAGTTATGCGAAATGCATACGTACGTTCGTACAGACTCAAAGAAAAAATCTCTTCTGAAACCATTTAAATAAGTTTTATAATTCCTTTGCGGGGGAAAGAGGGTTCTTTATTCTGTCCTTACGCACAGATGCCATTCAAAAACATCGTTACATTGCACTCGATAGCTGTCAAAATGGATATTTTAGTTGAAATATGAAACCCGGAATTTTTCGCGATTACAATTCTTTTGTTTCGTAAATAGAGGAAAAAAAATCAAATTTTTTACACAGTTTCAAAATTAAATGTAACTCACAAATTAAGAAAGTCATACAACGGTTTCATAGCAGCAGAAAAAAAAAAAAAAAAAAAAAAAAAAAAAAGGGCGAATATTGGCATCATATACTGTGAGAACTTCATTATCTAAGCATATTTTGTATGTGGCATCCTATTGCTGATGCAATAAATGATTCTTTTCCTTTAACGAACCAATAATGTTAGCGCATACTGAGCAGCAGTAGTTATACTGCACATTTTATATTGAAGTTCTTAGCAACAGGCTGGCCAAACTCATCATAAAATCTGTCTTTTAGGGACTGGCAGTATCATTTAGAAAAAGAGGTAATCGTTATACCGAGCACAAAAACCAGCTGGATAGAGGTATGGTTTTTGCTTACGAACTGATTCAAAGAGTCGATTCTGAGTGTTACTGAGCAAGCTACACAGTGATTCGATAAAATGGAGCGGTAGCTCCTATATAGTACCAATAAACAGCTCTTGTTGGAAACCTGCCGGAAAAAGTTATTCTTATTATAGGGAAGAAAATGTTAATCACAGAACTACGATTTAAAGAAATTAGTTTAAGCAGTTAAAAAGCTTCGATTTAGTCGATTCTGTATATACCACTGCTCGTGCCAATTCTTTCCACTCTTTGCTCCCTCATCACATGCCTATCTTGATTCACTCCCTTTAATGATCTTACTCATCAGAGTTATTGCGAATGAACGAAGGGTTCTAAAAAAAGCCTATTCGGTTAAATTACAAACAGTTCTAATCTAATCTCATAAAAGAGCGGTTTTGACCATCACTACAACTAGATGAATGGTTGAGGTACATAAAAGTCTTTACTCAAGTTAGAGAATGACATATTCCACGAGAAAATTTGTTTTCTTAATTGGTTAAGAAAATATTGTCTGATTTTCTATTAGTAATGTGATTTCCAAAATATTAAAAGCTTTTTCAAGCATTAAAATGCATACATATATAAAATATGAATTATTATTATACATTTTACGCTTTAAATAAATTTCGTACATAATTTTCTTTATATTCTGTTAAAAGATCATAGCCAAATAATTACTCTTCCTTCAACTTCTAGAAGGTTCTTAAAATCTGATACAAATTTTTGACACCAGGTTTTATTGCTTTTGTCCATGAAGAGGCAAAAAGGGTTTAGAAAATCCTAGATTTGATACAATGGCTACCTTTAATAGTGTTATTTCAAACCATATCAAAATGAAATTATAATTATGAATCAAATTATTAGCAATTTTGGGAAAGATATGAGACTTTATATCATTTCACAGTAATTTTAAAATAAAACATAGTTAAAAAAGTAATCCATTTCGATCTACTTACCGTATCAGCAAATTCAATAAATTTCATGAAGAAAAACCACCAGCCAAGTTCGGCTAACTAAAATAAAAATTTTAACAAAAACGATAAGTATCTAATGTCGGCATAACATTTTTAAACTTTAAAAGTTTGCTAATGGTAAAGATAGTCACTGTTCATATACATAATTACACTATTCACGAAGAATATTAAATACTTCCAAAACTTCCAATAGAATTTTTTCTGTGGCCTTTTCTGACACTAATTGAATCAGATTGCAATTAACAGTGTGTCCTTGAAATTGTTGTAATCTGATGACCTCTAAGAATGTTCTCACAGTGGGACAAAGTTTCTTTCGTGCAAAACATATGACCTTGCACTGTTCATTGTTCTGAAATCTTAACTTATTGTCTAGACCACATAACTTCGTTTTCCCTTACTGTTTACAACACAAAGCATGAAGTTTGTAACGCAAGATAAAACGTCAAATTTATAACTTACAAGTTATTGACCTTAAACTTAATACTATGGATGACACATCAAAATTGTCAGATAAGTGGATTAGTTGCTGTAGCATGCGTCTATGGCAAATACGTTAGTTAAAGGTAATATACATTTAATATACATTTTAAAAATATTACTGAATTATGATGAGAAGCCATATACTCTTACATTTGAAATTTCAGCCTGTTAAGTATAACTACAGTTTTTCCAATATTGTCCAAATAACAACAGAAGAAAATTTTACCAAATGCGTTTTAGAATTCACCACTTACAAAGCACGTGAAACAATCTGTAAAACAAATCGATTTCAGCTCACTAAATGAAAAATCAGAGCGAATACTATTGTGCAAGTCTAGCTCTAGCATATTCTGTATTCTAGGCGGTTAGCACACTTGGCATTAAACATATTCATAATCTAAAGCTAATGATACTTTTATATAGTTTGCGGCATGTGATAACGAATTAGACTATCTCTTTTTGTGCTACAAATGGCTGCTTCCACATCAAAAACAACTAGTAATTAGATTATGTAAAACAGATGCACCTGGAATTCATGTTTGTGTGTCATATAATAATATCCAAATAAATTTGCTGGATAAACTTATGCTATGATATAGCAAATTGAAGTGAATGTTTTCTTAAAGTAGTCGTTATGTACTAATATATATGTATACCATAATGAAATCAATGATTCTTCACTAATATACTACATTTAAACAGGATGGTAAATTTTTAATCCATTTTTAGTGTATAATATAAAAATATTGAGTAAAACAGTTTGGCAACTGTTTGCCAAAATCAGGTACTAAGGTCGGATGCAACTCTCAGAAACTAAGATTTTCCTGAGGACTTGGGCACAAACTTCCCACGTGGTCACTTCATTAAATAAAGTTCAAGAAAATTTAACCTACTACATTGATTAAAAATCTACTGCTAAATATAAAAGACAAATCCTGCTTATATGTTTTTTACTTCTCTACTTAGCCTTTTGCAAGAAAGGATACTAAATCTTAAAGATGTTCTTTTTACTAAGCTTAACAACTACGAGGGGAAAAAAATGGTTAAAAATAGATTTTGTCTGATAAATTTATTCTTTGCTTCAAAAAAAGATATACAGTGCATAGTCCGAAATCCGGACGTCCATTATCCGGAATGATCTAAAATCTGGACCTCAAAATCACCAACAAAGTTTTTTCTCGTAGGCTTTACGCATGCGCATTTGATTCCTCCCCTCCGCGCATAATAAAACATCTGGAGAGTCTTGATTCTTAATTTCATTTCGGCACTAAATAAAATACCTTGTTATTGAAGAAACAATCATTTTAGGATAAATTTGTACCATCAGTAATTTGGCTTCGTTGCTGACTATGTGCTTGGCACACATCTCAAACCGAAACATTCCACATATATACATCGATGATCTGACGCCAACATGGCAAATCATTATTATACTTTCCTTTCATCACTGCATGTTTATCAAAACATGGCAACTTGAGTAATGACTCATCTAAACAATGTTTTTATGTTAGTAATTGAATAATAAAGGAGTATGATAAACTTTTATGTTGACGATGAGCGTTTTTATTGCTTGGCGATGATTACAGATGCCCTAAAATATTTTGACGAGGAAAAATTTACCAAAAATTTCTTTCCATATGCTAAAAATAGATTTTGTTGAGGATACTCGTAACTCAAAGATTACATTTAAGGCTATTTGAATAAAGAATAACGGATTTGTTATAAACCCAGAAACAGCGCCAGGGCTCGTATGGCCGCACTGAGTCGCAGAATCTAGGACCCACAGAGACTGCATCAGGGGGTAAGATATCTAGCTTCAGCCCTCAGTAAAGCTTAAGTATATGTGGGAATTTATTTATTCAGAACTTTCATAAGCCTTGAGCATGTGCAAGAAATAGACATAAGTATAATAAATAACTAATGCAATTCTGACTTAATTGTCTCAGTGCACGATAGAAGCAAGATTAAATTTAATGGAACTGCTTGTTGTTAGTCACCAAGCTCATGATGCATTATGTGTAATGAAGGATAGCTAAATTTGATGATGATGGCCGCGAATTTTAAAGGTTTTCGGATATCGCAAAACAAAGCTGAAATTTTCCAGTTAACGGATTTTGTAAAGAAATGTGGAGAAGCGTAATAAATGAAGTGATATAAAAGAAATTTTTCATTGTGATGACAATGTTTCTCAATCATCAGTCAAATTAATGAATGGCGAAATCTGTAGTATGGTTCTATATCCAGAAAATACCGCTACCGATAGTAAAAAAAAAAAAATGACAGAAAACAAGAATTCGATTGACAAGTTAGTCGTAATTCTCCAAAAAGTAGTTACAGGACTTCAACAATGTAACTAAACAAGAGATTATGTCTATCTACAGAATTAAAGAGAAAGTATTAGCACTAAAAAATGAAGCAACTTAAACAACTTACATTGAAAGAAATGTTTAATAAGGTAAACAAATAAATATTCAGCTTTTATTTGTAAATTTTGATACCCTTTAGATCATAAATACTGTTACTTTTCTGACACCAGTTGTTACATTATTTTCTTCTTTCACGTTCGTACGGGGTTCGTAGATTTGGAGTGAATAACGACGAAACTTGATGAAGTATCAACACACACTTTTATTTATCAGTATTAATCAGATAGCTCCAAAATCACTTTTACAGTCGTCGAACTGTTATAAACGAGCTGACACATTCAGCGACACAGCCTTCACACTGTCAGGCAATAACGGTGGAGACAGCTTCACCGCAAATCACCCGAGTACAGCTCCCAACTCTGATTGGTCGTTCTCGGAATTCCCTGTACTCTCGAGACTCTCCCTGCGATGCACTCGACGATACATAAAAGTATAGCTCTCGACTCAGCTAAGTCTAAGACAAAACTCGACGATGCACTAATTCGCGATGCACTAAAAGACTCTCTCGATGCGCTCGAAGACCAACTCGGCGCTAGACTTCGAGACACTCGCTCAATGACTGACTATCAGCTCGCTAGACGAGGCATACACACTAACTGCGGACCAGCAGGGTTTGTATAGCTTTCGGCTTGCGTTCGAGAACATTCTGGGCTAAATCGGTAAGAATTCGTTCCAGAAGGTTCTCCATCCGTCCATGGTATATCGCCAATTTTTGTCGCTAAATAAGGCGACCCTGCTTTCCCTTGCCATTTTATGGCAAACCTAAAACTGCTTTGCGGGGAAGCCATCTTACCGCGCCTGTTCATTTCGTAACAATACTTCATTATTTCATAAATCACGATTTCAAATTTTTAATTTTATAATTTCTACATGCCATCTTACTAGATTTAAACTGATGATCTAATATCTGGAAAAATCCCAAATCCGGAATCGCCGAGGTCCCGAAGAGTCCGGATTTTGGACTTTGTACTGTAATAAATTAAATGTAGGCTTTTAGGTAGCACTTTTATTATTGCTCTTTAAATCACTATACACAGACCAAGACAGCATGGCTCTTTATTGTTTCAGTAAAATCACGGATCTTCAAGTATGATCATAAGTTCATGAAATAATGTTGAATATGTATTTTTAAACATCAAGTTAGTACAGCTACAATCAAATACAAAGTCCAAGCAAGCCCATACTACAGGACAGCCATTCCATACTTCATTATAAAGATAATTAGTTATCTTTATAATAAATCACAATATACACAATCAGTTGAACAAGAGTACAGTGATTTTGCATCCTTCACGGCATCTATTCTATTGTTTATGAACAACTAGTAAAGTTCCACGTTTATCATCCGTAATCCTACAGTTATGAAAAGCTTACGTGTAACAGAATCGCAAGAAGTTTTTTTTTTTTTCCTTTTAAATAAGGCTCAAATAATTTGTCTTGCAGGATAACGATTCACATTACATGAAATATTATGTTGCCATCAAATTTTCTTTTTACTCTACAGTAACGTATACTCAATATTTTATAACAGCTAAACGCAATTCTATCTGCTTTATTACTTCTTACATTCCTCCGGAAGCTTCACAATGTCTAAGGATTTTTTTCTAAGGATTTATTTGTTTGTCAGAAGAATATCATACCTAATTCCTTTTAATGTTATTTACTTAACTTTTATTGCTAATGTTTTAATAAGAAACTAGACAATAATTATACGTGGTAATATGAGGAGAATACTAAAGATGAGGTAGAATATTCCAGTCAAATATTAGCAGATTGTTCTAAATGCATAGGATCCCTAGCCATTTTTGCTATTTGCTTCTTTCAGTTTGTTCATTTGATAATATTTTATTCAACCAATTGTTTCACCCTGTGAAAGTGGTTCATAATAAACGAAGCACTCTTACTTCCATAAACTGTCATTTAAGCTTTCTTCAGGTGAAGTCCGGCTCTTTTGCTACCGTTAAAGCGATATTATGGCTCGACCAAGAGCGTTTACAATTAACAATCTTGTACAGGATCAAAAGTAACCATCTTCAGCAACTAATCTCTTCAAAAATAGTTCTCTCGTTCTATCGAAGAAATCACATGTGTAAGCACGATTAAGGAGGGTTTTCTGAGCCAGCTGATGCTGAACCCATGCTTCAGAACTATCGATGTAATCGAATTTTGAGATGACCGTGTACCATTGTATGGGTAAAGGTTACTAATCCACGATGTACGTCAAGGTCTGTAAAGGATTGCGTGACCACTAAACTTTTCATTTTCCAGTTTAAGTTACGAACTCGAAGACTTCTAACACAAATGCGAACTTTCTGTTTGCATAATCATTAGCACTGTTGTCTTTTTGAATAATGAAATAGATGTTGAAAACATTTCCTTTTATTATATTTACTTGAAAGGTGTAGGGAAGTATGTGTATAATTATTCATAGTATGTGAATAGAATGTATTTTACAGTAGTATTTAACACACATCGTATCTGGTGTGGTTTCTGTAATTACGGCAAAGCCTCGAGGGCTATCTGCCAAAGGGGAGGGATGCGTTCGTGGAAGGCTTTCTAAGGAAAACTGGCTCGTATACACGTTACACATGGGGAAAACCATGAAAAAGCCCGTGCAGCCAGCCCGTTCGCGGGATTCGAACCTCAGACCGGCGTTCAGCGATTTTACCACTCGGCCGCTGGTGGGCTCCACATCGTATCTATTTCCTACTATACTATTTGACCAAACTTGAGACTAAAGAAAACTGATCAAAAAGGTGCCTCACATGCAGAGCGAAAGTCTACATTTTTAAGGCGAAAGATAATGTTTTAATTTCCCTCTAATTGGCATTGCAAAATTAAGCATCGACAATTTAGTTTTCCAGACACCGGAAATTTTGGTTCTTGCAACAATAACGGTAACAAAATCTAAATTCAAATTTAGTTTATTTTTAACCTTCGAAGTGTCTGGAAGAGATAAATAACACAAACTGACCGTTAAATGAGCTTTTCACCCCGTTTTCCTTGACCTGTTTAATAACCCCAATTAATACCCAAGCTGAGAAAAATATTCGTTCTTCAAAAGAAATGTAATGAAATACATGTGGATATTTTTTATGCTATTCTTAGAATCAGGCGAAGTCCAAAATAGATTATATACGCATCGTACTACATTTTCAGAAAAAGATTTAAAACTTAGCATTTGATCAAATTTCTTCTTCAGATTCCATTTGTTCTTTATACATTTTAGCATTTATTTAGGCTGGAGCTTTTCATCTATTATAAAAAATGTTTTCAAATTAGGCTGGTGTTTTTCTTGCCTTTTACTATTACCAATTACCATTCACGGACAGCGTTGCATCCTGCGCAGCATTCTCGGTGATCAGATGGCAAAAGACCAATGGGTGTAATCATTTTCAGCGCAAGTTTGAAGAGAAGATGCCCGAGTATTGGAGGGAGGACGAACTATTACTTCCTTTCAAATAAATGTTTCAGATTTGATCTGGATGAAATCTGGATGTATATTTTGTACATCCTTTATTTTTCTTTTAATACGTATTTCCCAAACCCCTTCTAAAGTACCATTTCCTTTCTGTATGATCCCTCCCAACTTTCAACTGAGAAGAAGGATTCAACGCTTTCGAAAATAAATAGGAACCTGCTGTAAAAGAGAATTGTTCCATCACTTTATCAACAACTATCAAACATCTTAATATTCTGCTTAAATATATAACGCGTTTAAATTTTTTTTAATTCATTATTCTTGGATTAGAGAAAAAAACTTCGAATAAAAATTACATTTTTTCTCGTTTACTTTCTGCTGTAATATTAGATTAAAATGCATGTCGGGTAGAAAAATATTGAGATTTTTTGTTAATTGTTTAGTAGCCATAAAACAGAATTATTTCCATTTAGTTTTAATAAAGCGATGAAAAAGATTTTCTAATTTAATACTTTTTTATGTAAAATCTTAAATATATTTTTAATATTTTTTTATGTATAATCTTAAAAGCATTCACAATCCCAAACTTAGCATTTGGTCTGTATAGGTATATTTACATACTTTCATCTATAATTTTCTAAAATATATCACATAATCGAAACTGAAGTTTTCTGAATACCTGACTCATTTGATACATAAAACTTTAACCGAGAACTGTGATCAATATTAAAAAAACACTTAAATCATCATAAACGACTTGAATGTACATATTGAAGATTAAATGTGTCACACATATATACTGATTTATACATACAAATATATTGAAGATTTTAATTCTCTATATTTTTTCTTAGATAAAACCGCAGCACTATGAACACCACACATCTTGGCTTATATCTATGTGCTAATTATATCCCACTAAATCAGTTTCATAAAACATTTAATCAGAACGAAAAGAATCAAATTAAACTACACATAAAATTAAATTAATAAAAAATTATAACTTATTTGTATTTTAGGTTACTAATATTTTCATCCTTACCCTAATAGAATCTGGATCATTTTTGTTATCTATTCTACAGGTCCAGTTGCGAGGCGGTTTCAGTAGTATTTTGAATGACTGAAAAGGAAAGGAAAAAAAAAGATTTAAAATATGATTTACCATTCTATTTTAAGCACAAAATATTACAAATGTACTTTTTGTTAATAACGCTGCAATATGAAATTTAAATTTTATAAACCTTTAAGAAATAATAAAACCAGAGCTTTTCCATTGTAATAAAACCAGATAATAACTAGCATAATAGCTGTTTTCGTTTCATAAAAAATATTTAAATCAATAGTCTCTGATGGGTGGGTAAAGTCGGAAATGGCTACTGTAAATTATAACTTCACGCTGTTGCAATGAACGTTAACAGAATGTAAAACAAAATCAGAAGATTGTTAACAGAAAGATTTATTGAAACATAATACAAAATATTTTTTGTACAAATGTTTGCAATACCTCAACCGCGAAACGGGTCGAAATAAAACACATTCATTGGTGGAATTTATTATCGTAATTGAAGTCGGGACAAAGGAATCAATGAGATTTCAATGATCAAATTATTCACTTGTTCCATTTATCAGCAATTCTTTAAAAAAATTCTGGCAACTAAAGTTTTCCTGGTATCTTTTTTTAAATATATAACTTAAGATATGTACAAGGTTTCTTTCTGATTTCGAGTTAATTTCATTCAGATTATAGATCGTTTTAATGCAAATTTTTCTCCATTTGCATTGTAAAATGAAGTTTAGTTCACAAAGTCTCATAAAAAAGACAATGAGAAACTGAATATTTACCGAGAAGCATAGAATGAATATTTCTATTTAAAGTTTTAGAATTTCAAATATTTGTCAGTTTGGTTTTGTTCATTATGGCAAAGCAAACTAGAACTACCTGCCTAAAGGGAGCGATGCTTGCATAGAAGTCTTTTGAAAGGAAACTTTCTTACACGCCCCACATGGAGAAAGCAACGAAAACGCCCATTCAGAAAACTTGTTCGCCTAGTGTCGAATTGAAGTCCTAACTACCAGTGTCCAGAGATTTTACCCCCCCCCCTCCGACTGCTCGTGAGCCAATATTTGTCAATAATAAAAATTTAAATAGATATTTTATTCATCTTATTACCGACTATTAATTCAAAATATATATTGAATACACGTTTCGTCATAACACTACTAAAGTCGTTACTCAAAGTACTATACGTTATGGTTTCGAATCATAGTTCGAATCTTAAGTACTGATAGCTTAAATTTACTTAACGGTTGTCATGTTATATTTTTGACACCTTTTAATATTTATACCGTGAATGCTCTCAAGAGATTCTCCAGCACAAAGAAGCATCGTAAATTACCCAACAACGCGTGTTGAGCTGCAGATCTTACTTAGGATTCTGATCATTAAGCTGAATCTGGAAAAGAAAAGTCGAGGTTCCTTCATGCCGTAGCTCAGAATTAGATGTTAGTTCAAATAGAATTTTCTACCACAAATAATAAGTTTTAACTTTTAGTATTACGACAAGTTACTGCATGCAATGCAAAATTGAGAACAATTGCGAACATAACTGTATTTATTTGCAATATTCATTCCTTTTTTTAACCGTAGTTTTGCGTGATTCATGCAATTTGAAAGAAAAGTTGCGTGCTTATAAAATATGTGCACAATTCATGAACATTTAACCGCTTTTTATGTACTTACTTATTTAACAGGTAAACTCCAAAGTTAAACGTTTCACGTTCCACAGTAGAGAAAATGGTATTCAAATATCAATATAAATGCTGTGTTGACTCATACAACAAATTTTTAAATTAATAAAGAGTTAT